TGTAAAATATATATTAGAAAAAATAAAATCAACAAAAATTTAACATGTATTTTTTTTAAAAGCTTACCTTAAAATAATCCAATAGTAAACAAACAAAATATCGCAACACCTATCACGTCATATGTTTTTTAAAAGACAACCTTTCACAAGCTAAACCGAGGTCACAATACAGTTGACCACGGTCGTCTGTCTGCGGACTGGTGTAAACGACCTAGTTTGGCATTCTTTAATAATTCGGCTGGCGGGTTCGTAATACCGATGAGTTCGACATCTGAATATAAATTTCATTATCAGTGGCGTTGCTATTAAAAATTAGAAATAAAAATGTTTTAAATTAGAATTATTTGAAAAAATGTATAAATATTCTTTATTAAATTATTCTGCTACTACTATTTAAAAATAAATAAAGGTGGTTATTTAACAGGCATTAGATCTTATATAAATTTTTACTCAAAGATTAGGGAGCTATGGAAAATCAGTATGATGATGCATTATATGACTGGTCTGATTTGAGTAATTATGAACATGCAATGGTTAAGAAAATTGATTTAAATAATTACGCTCAAAAAAATTGTAATAAACTTATTGTAACAATTAAATTAGATTATTTATAAATATTTGCATTTTTACTACCCTTCCTATAAATAAACTTGTTCTGGCTTATTTGTGTTTTTTCCTAATGTCTAGACAGGCGTCTTAAGGTTATACCAAGACATTCTCTTTATATTTTTTAAACCAGGAGGTCGTCAAACTAGTTTCTGAATATGGAGGCTATGAAAGGTTAATAGCATATCTGCCCATGACTGGTTTCCTCCAAAGTCCCCCCTCATCATATAAAAACCAGCTCATCATTGCCACATACATACTTTCTCACTAAAACTGGTTCATTAAAACCGGTTCATCATTGCCACATACAATTTCCCCCTACTGACACCAATGTTAGCCCCCCATTTGTACTGGCGATTGAAATAAGAGCGTCAATATATTGGCTTCAGCATCAATACTTAAGTTCTCTGTTATTTTATTTAAATTCTGTATATAGCATGTAATTTTTTTGTATCTTTAAATTTTGTATATATTTGTAATAGATTTAAGAAAATAAGACTTTTTTTAATCTTTATTTCATTTTACTTCATAATTTTACATATCACAAACATACTTACACACTCTACAAAGGGATGTTCATCTCTTGAGACATTTTCGGCTTAATCAACTGTAAAATGTATTGCAACAAACTTGCATTTATATAAAAAATCTACAATAATCACCATAAAGAGAGGTATCCAGTTTTTAATATAAATAAGATTGCGTTTCAAAGAGCAGTATTCAATTTAGTTTTTAATATGAAAACAAGTAGTAATATTGAAATTAAAAGCCATTTTAAAAAAATGCCAGGTGGTGAACTTTTAAATGTAAATGAAAGTTCGCCCGAATTCTCAAACATATAAATATCACCAATTATCAAGGATAAAAATTAACAAGAGTGATAAAATCGAGTTTAAACTTGGGTCACCAGATGAAATGTGTGCAAACTTTGTTTTTCAAGTTCCTATAGAAAAAAAATGTCTAGAGTTTAAAATGTAAATGAACTACATAAGCCTACTAGAAAAAATATAGGAGACGACATTTTATTGTTAAAGGTTAAAAAATTTAATCCAAGCAGATTTAGCTTATATTAGAGACACACTGTGGTTGAGGCTGAAAGGAGGTATGGGTTCGAATCCCACGACTGTCATTTTTATATAAATCTCAACTGCTTGTTCAGAGTTGCTCATACTTGTTGTCAATAAACCAGTATGTCTAGAGGTTATCGAGTCAAAACAAAATAAACTCATAAGACATTAAAAGTTGTTTAACCTGTTAGTCAATAAAGAAGTATGTCAGGTTACTAAAGATCATGAAGGTTATGAACGAAACCAAAATAAAGATATCAAAAATAGCGTACAATGTAATGGGTTTAGAATATAAAAGATGATCGCAGCTTTATTTTAATAATAATGGAGAGTGATACTGATACATTATCATCAAATGATTCAGATAGTTCAGACGATAATTTATCAGATTTTGAAAAATGACGAGTTTATAGAATTAGATGATTTGGATTTCAAAATAAATAAAATTGATAATATTGTCACAAATCCCAAAAATATTAATAATAATTTTTCTTAGTTTTTTTTTTAAAGTAAATTAAACAAATACATTTTATTTTTAATTCAGCATTTTATTAAGTCAAAACATACCTAAGTAAACAAATTTAAAAAGGATTACAAAATACTGGCGAGTTGCTAATATACGTAGGAAATCATAATGAAATTATATTGCCTAATTAAAATAATGTCAGGTCATCAACCACGTAATTTAAGTTTGGTTAAACTATGAAAATTGTGCAAATCGGCAATATTCAAAAAATTGGGTATGTAAATTAAACAAGTTAGTTGTAAACTCGACAGCGAAAAAAGTGGACTCTAAAAGAGAAGCTATTTCTTTTATATAATTTAAAATCCTTAAAAACTAAAAGTTTTCGTTGTGCCTTTTGGGGAAGAGTGTGACGTGCCCTAAGCTTAAGAAATGCGGCAAGTGTACCAAAACATTTAAAAAAAATTGTCAAAGTAATGAGATGTGGTTAAGTTTAAATAAATTATATATTTTTTTATATTTTGTATTTTCTTTCAAAGACGAAATTGGTACAAAAAACACGACTTCGTGACAATATCAAGTGGATTATATTAATTATCAAAGTAACAAACACAAAGCTGTGCAGTCACTGCTTTTTTAAAGTTGTTACACAAATTAATGAACATTTTACCATCTACCACTACTCTGAAAATTTTACTGGAAGTCTCGATAATATTTCCAATTTTATTTATCGGTGTAGTGCTTGTAATGAAAGATTGTTTACATTTTTTGTTTTATGTTTATGTTTTATTAAAAAACTATGTGGTGGGATACACGAAGTAAGGGTTTAAAATTTGTTGTTGATCCAAATAAGAAAATGGGTTGGGTTATCTAAAGAACTTGAAAGCAGGGAGGAGTTTAAAATTAATAATTGGTTGAATTAGAAAACTTGTTTAAAAAATCAAATATATTAGTAGGTAGGGCAAAATGTATTTATATCAACTGGGAAATCTTTAAATGTTATTAATTTATTGAACAAGATACCTGCAACATAAATAGTCTCATACAAAATTAAAAAAGTTAAAAGTGCTACATGGTGAAAATTAAAATTTTACAAAATATAACAGTTCCAATGGATTCTTTTCATATCGAAATTTTAAACGGAAGTTTTAGTGAAGTGACGCCAATCGGACACAAAAAAATGTTTACTTCCAACTCCTAAACCACAAGAAATCCTAACCACATCGGGGGCAGCAGTATCAAAATTTAATCAAGTGAAGCCAGAGACATCTGGAAAAAAACTTGAATTGTTTAAAAAATGAATTCAGTGACATCTCTTCAGAGGGCGAGGATAACGAAAATTCAATGGAATTCGATGGGACCTTCGACATAGAAGAAGACATTGAACAAGAACAAAAAATCACAGAAGAGTATTTTATAAATGTTCACCTAATTTTGACGTTTCAAATCCAGAAAGTTATATTATGTATTTGGACGCCACGAATTTATATGGCGCTGCAAAGCGTCAAATTTTTCCTTTTGGTGACTTTAAATGGATACCTATGGATACCTGTGGATAACTTTGATTGTACTTTAGTAAATGACGATGCTTCTAAAAGATATGTATTGGAAGTAGATTTGAAGTATCCGCACAATGTCCACCACAGGCACAACGATCTTCCGTTTTGTCCTGAAAATACAATACTACCAATAGGTAAACACCCAAAATTAATTCCAAATTTAAATAATAATAAAGAAAAGTATATCATCCACTACCGGAACTTAAAACTGTCTTAAATATGGGTTAAAATTAAGGAAATTTCATAGAATTTTCTCAATCACCTTGGTTATAAAAATATATCGATTTAAACACCCTCCTTCGAAATCAAGCAATGAATGACTTTGAAAAAGATCATTTTAGGCTGCTGGTCAATGCAGTTTTCGGAAAAGCTTTAGAAAATATTAATAAACGAAAAGCTATACATCTAATATCCCACTGGGAGAATAGGCGCCAGATATTATATTCCACGTATAATTATAAAGATTTATACTTCATATTGAAACAAGAATCAATATTGCGTATTTTGCAAAAGCGTGTTCAAGAATCAATGTATGCGTGTTCAAGAATCAATGTATTTCTAATGGGGCGCTACAAAAATCAAGACCCAATGTATTTCTTATGAAGCGCTACAAGAATCAAGATTGCGTATTTTGCAAAAGCGAGTTCAAGAATCGATGTATTTCTAATGGGGCGCTACAAGAATCAAGACCCAATGTATTTCTTATGAGGCGCTACAAGAATCAAAATCGTGTATTGGGCTTAATAATACTTATCATGGGGGTGTGTGGAATGCAGATCTAACCTCGCTTGTGACGTAATAAATGAAATATAACACGTGTAACCATATATGGAATGCCTAATAATTAAACTCGCTGACCGAAGAAATGGATCACGCACGTATGACCTAATATGGAATGTTTCGTACTGGTATGCGAATTTTTACATCGAGAAATCCCCAATGTATCAATCTATTTTTTGCGGTTTGGTAAAAATAATATTTTCACGCCTCAACTACAATGTAATATTAAATATTATTATGATTCTGAATAGGGAAATGCATCCGTTGGCAACCAGCTATATTTAATCCGACCTTATAAATAATGCAAAATTTTATTTTTCGTATTATTTGACGCGATGGGTAAGTTTTCGTTGTGTTATTAGTGTATAGTGGTTAATGGGCATTTCTTTTGTTTCTAGATGAAGAATTCGTGGAATATATTAAAATTAATTTAGCTGCAAATATGCGAGAAAGTTTTTCGAACTAGAAATTTATTAAATATTTAATTTTTTTTTTTGTTTGTTTTAATAGCATAAGTCGCTAATTATGTTTGGGGGGCGTATCCAACATACGCCCCCAGCAGATTCCATTTCATTGGGGGTCTACAAAAACAAAGCCTTCTACGCCTTTGACGGCGACATGGTAGTAGTTTGGGTATGTGACTTGGTAAGTTTATAAATATTTTCTATTTTGAACTATCTTTAACCCTAGAACGAATTTGTGTGGTTTTAACAACAAACGGAACCATTATACACGCGTCATAAGTTTAAGGTAATTTATTGCTCCGCTTGTTGAGAAAATTCATAAATACATTCTAGGTTTAATCATCAACGTACGTCAATTCTTTTTCAATTTTTTAAAAAAATAAAACTAAAATAAAATTAGATAATTATTTATTATTTAGGTAATAAATTATACAACCAGTAATGTAATGTTTCGACGTTATGTCGACTACACATAAAGGTCCCTTCAGCATGGTGTAAACATTTATTTTGTGTAGTAAAATTTCCACAACTGAAATTTGTTTGGTTATATTTTCCTAAATCGATAATGATAGGAAAAATACCTATTTCTAAACATTTTGATCGTAAAAAATCACTGTTTTTTTGTCTGATACATTTAGTTGATTATAATTTATCGGAGCCTTAAATAAAAAATCGTATCTCTGAGAGCCAATTTCGATCGTCATTTCCTTAGGGTGGAAACCCCCTAGGATATGAAATCCTTGTATGTCAATAAGACCGATTCTCATAGTGAATTATAATACAATGAGATAACTTTTTTTATTTTGAAAATTTATAGACAAGTTTTTAAATTTATAAGAGTGGGGGGAGTTTTATAGTAATTATTAATGAGAAAATTAAATCATATGTGTTCTACTAAAAACTCCTACATGAATTTTTTACCTTGCTTTTTAATAAATAATTTTTCTGACCCTCGTATCGCATATTTCTTATCCCATATTAATTGGAAAAAATTAACAAGACCGATTCTGCAATCAATGCTAACTAAGGGTAGACCGATTCTAGAATCAATTCCTAGATTCAAAGGCAAAATGATGGTAAGCCGTTTGTAGAATCAAGACAGAAAATGATGGTAAGCCGTTTCTAGAATCAAAGGCAAAAATTAAGGTGGACCGTTTCTGGTATCAAATTCTGAATATGTAATACGTGAACATGTATCGAGGGATGGGGGTCCAAGGGTGGAAGATTGTATTTTTGCAATGTCTAAAGGAAGAATGCTGATGAGTTGAAAGGATGGCACAATAAAGTTTGAAAATTTTGATTTAGACTGAAGATATTGTCATAAAAATGAGAGAATGGGTTGTTTTTTAAATAATAAATGTTATAGTACCTTTTACTTTTTGCATATGTATATATTAGAAAGTATAGTAGTTTAATAAACCTGCTCTCATTATGTAAAATCCAATAATATTACTATTTGAAACATGATGTAACCTTTAAAATAATTACTTCATTTTCCTTTCTAATAAATTATAAATTCAAAATAATGGTATATAAAGAATTTTCATAATTTCAAATTTACAGTTACAGTTTATTTGTATTAAGTTTAATATATAAGTGTAAATTATTATTAAGGTAATGATTTTTAAATTTTATTATTTTTAAATTTATGTAGACAATCTAATTTTAGATGGATTATGATCTTTTAGAAATCAACGAAACTGCTGAACTTGAATTCAAACCTAATTTCAAGTTGTCTGATTTACCATTAAATGAAAAATTTACTATTTGTTCATTAACATCTGTACAAACCAAATATGGGGAGAGTATTATAGTTGAACTAGAACGCAATGTGGTGTTTCTACCAAAACGTATGGTCCCTCTCTTAAAAGGAAAGGAAGCTAAATTCGAGAATAAGGAATATTGCTTGGTATACGAAGGCAGCAAAGAAGTTGGAAAGCTGAATCCAGCACAACTGTTCAAAATCGTTAAAAAGGATGAGTAAATAATGAATACCGAATTTTGCGATACATGTAAGATTTATTTTTGCTTTTGTAAAAAGTCAGTAAATTTGCATAATTTAAAAAAAAAAAAGATAGTTTTATGAATACAATTTCAAAAATAAATAAAACTAATCTATATAATCAAATAGCTAATACTAATTTATATTGTTCTGAAACTTTAAATAAAACACCTTCGCAGTTGAAAAATGAATTCAGAAAAAATATGTGATATTAGTGATGAAATAATTAATAAATTTAAAAATATTAAACATATCCTAAGTCAAGATTTTAGTATTAAAGAAAAAGAGGTTTGGCTTAAACATATAAAAAGTAATATTAAGTTATGTAACAAAGCTATTCGAAACTCTGACTTTTCAATTGGATCATTACGAAAATAACAAACAAATTTAGGTCGTTTAAAAGTTTTTCAAACATCTATTCAGAATTTAAGTCAAAATCATGTAGGAAAAGGGCTAAGTATTCTTTTAGACTGGTATAATATATTTCTGTAAGTGGTTTTATATTTTTATGGTAACATACATAGTCAATAACTACTTATTTATTTTTGTATAACAAGCAAGAAATAGGTACTTGTTTTCTTTTTGTATTTTAAAACATATTTCAGTTTTAATAGGCTGGAAAAAATGTTTCAAACAAGTTTTTAAGTGGGATTAAAATATCCTGGAAAAATATTTCTACAAGTACTTTTTATTTTGATTGAGATAGGGGGTACTGCTTTGTTGGGGGCAGCATATATAAAGGCATATTTTAACTTTGAAACTTATTAACATTTATTAAGTTTCGAGTATCGCTAAGTTTTGAGTATTGTGTGAAGTATCATGTCTAAAGTGAATGTATTAAGTAATGTTTTAATTACCAAACAAAGCTATCTGAGTGATGACAGTAGTGATTTCGAGGTTTTAAATGGATCCTTCAGTAACCTATTACCGATAGGTCATTAATGAAACCCAAACCATCAACATCGAACCCCGCAGTTCCAAAGCTAGTAGGACCTTCAAGACCCAATCCATTGACATCCAACCCATCAACATCCAGACCATCGACATCCAAGCCATCAACATTCAACCCCGTAGTTCCAAAATTAGTTATTGCCAAGAAATGTATTTCTAAAACTGATTTAAAACAGGACAAATACAGTGATGTATCAGATACCGACTTTCATAATAATTCAACGATGGTGGAGTTAGACACCACCGTATGTGAGGAAGAAGAAATTGAGAAACAGCAATCTACTGTGGCATATTTAGATAAATTGGAGCAATTTATCTCAGAAACAAAAGATTTTGTCAAAATAAAGCAAGAAAAAAGACTTCAATTATATAAAATGCTCAAAAAGTATCAGTCTAAAGTCAACAAAATTCAGAAAACACTGGATATTTTGGATTCCATTTTAGTAAGAGCAGTAAGGATCAACCTCTTAGAATAATCTTTTTATTTTAAAATAATTTTTTATTTAATTTTTCAATTTTTTTATTTTTTGTTGTATCTAGATGGAAAATAAAATAACCAAACTAAATACTGTATCTTTAATAGAAAAGGAAAACAAGAGAATCACCAAACTAAACGCCTTTATTCCGGATAAACCATACCGAATATTAGCAGCCAAAATAACTAAGGGTAAGTAAGGAAAGGCAGTTCTTCTAGAATTGGATGAGGAGGTAACCTTTATACCTCAAAGGGTAACTGAGACCTACAGAGACGCAATAATAGATCTGCCACTAAAGTACGCAGTAGTGTTCCGTAAGCTGGTGGACGTAGGAAAGCCAGAATTCAGATGAAATTGGTTAAAAATTTGGAAAAATCAAATCAATAGATGTATTAGACTATGTAATTTAGCTATTCGAGGTGCTGATTTAGCTATTGGTTCGTTACGAAAATTGCAAACTAATGTTGGTCATCTCATAAGGTTTAAAATTATTATTAAAAATTTTAATTCAATAGTCAGTGGGGGTCTTAAAAAGGATCGTAGTAATAGGGTTGTATGGAAATATAACTTCAGTATTTGTTAGATTGCTAAACACATGCAAAAATACCACGAATTCTGAATAAAAATTAATTTAACTGCAGCAATGGTATTTCCGGAGAATGCCTAACCGAAAAACGCTCTGCACTGACGTAATATCGGTAGCATATAAGCGAACACGCATGGGGGGGGGGGGGGGGGCATTTCACATTCGACGCTCAGGTTCATAACGCGACGCCCAGTAGTGCTGCTAATTTTGTTTCTCATGTAAGTAATTTTTTCATTTTTAAAAATCATTTTGTAATATCCAATTTAGTTTAATTTGATAGAAAAATGGCTGTTTTTTTCTTTTTTCATGATCATAGTTTAGTATTCGTTTTGAAACTTTTAATGTATACTATTTAAGTTGATAAATGGTTTTGTTTTTCATGGTCACAATTATTATTCGTTTTACTAATGAAAATAAATTGAAACAATTTTTATGAGTAGTTGCAAGTAGACATTTAGAATATTTTTTTTTCTTTATAGATGAATCTAATCGAATTAAACAAAGTATCTCTTGTAGAAAGGAAAGAGACGATTAAAATTTCTGAGTTGCCTCTAAATAAGCCCATCAAAATCAGCAAGGAAAAAATCGTTAATACCAAGTATGGAGACGCTGTTCTGTTGAAGTTAGTGGATAAAGCAATCTTCCTATCCCAAAGAGTAACAGAGACATATAGACCGCACTTTGACGAATTCGCTAATCAACTGTACAGTATTATTTACAGAAGAGAAATTGCCATTGAAAAACCGAGTCCACTTGCTTCCTTTGAAATTATCAAGCATTAGTGTAAATAAAAAAACAGAGAGAGGATAAGCATTTTTTTGTCCTTTTTTTTATTAAAGTCACAAAAAATGTCGAGTGTGATTAAACGTTCTTATAAACTGCTGGTAGCGATTAAAAAATTACGCAAAATTATTTTTGATAAATTTACTGCTAGAGATGCTGAGATCTGGTTAAAATTTAAATAAGCAAGTTAAAGCCTGTAATAAGTTTTTTGTTCTGACTGAGGAGGTACTAAGTACTTATGAAGGTAGGGGTAATTGTAAAGCATATAAAAGATATACTTTAACTTTGAAACCTTAGTAACATTTTAATAATTTCACCAACATAACAAATAATGGCCAAAATAAATATAATTAGTAACGTTAGATTAAACAATGAAAGTGATATCGGCAGTGACCTTGAAGTGCTGGACGGTTCGTTTTCGGACTTAAAACCTATAGGGTTTTCAACCTCGAAAAATTACGCGTCAACCTCCAAAGGTAGTGCCCAGTTTTCAAAACCAAGTGTACATAACCCAGTAATCCCAAAATTACTTATATCACCAAACAATTTGTTAAATGTAAACAAGAAAAAAGAAACCAACTTTACCGTAAATTGAAAAAATATCAACGAAAAGTTGACAAAATTCACAAAAAAATTAATTCTTTAGACGCTATTTTATTAAGAGCTGTTCGCATTAATTTATTAGAATAATAATCAAACATCTTTCTTCAATCATTTTTCTAAATTATACAATTTTTTTATACCTACATTTTTCACATACCTAAAACCTCAACCTCAGAGGAAAGTGCCAAGTTTTTAAAACCATGTGTACATAACCCAGTAATCCCAAAATTACTTATATCAGGGAAATGTATAAAAAAAGTGATTTAAAACAAGAACAATTTAGTGATATTTCCTCAGGCAAGGAAGATGATAATACAATCATTGATGATAGGGAAACCACTTTGTGTGAGCAAGAAGATATAGAAGAGCAGCAATCCAAAAATGCCTATTTGAATCGTTTAGAACAGTTTATAACAGACACCAAACAATTTGTTAAATGTAAACAAGAAAAAATAAACCTACTTTACCGTAAATTGAAAAAATATCAACGAAAAGTTGACAAAATTCAAAAAACAATTATTTCTTTAGACGCTATTTTATTAAGAGCTGTTCGCATCAATTTATTAGAATAATAATCAAACATCTTTCTTCAATCATTTTTCTAAATCATACAATTTTTTTATACCTACATTTTTCACATACCTAAAACCTTAACCTCAGAGGAAAGTGCCAAGTTTTTAAAACCATGTGTACATAACCCAGTAATCCCAAAATTACTTATATCAGGGAAATGTATAAAAAAAGTGAATTAAAACAAGAACAATTTAGTGATATTTCCTCAGATGAGGAAGATGATAATACAACCATTGATGATAGGGAAACCACTTTGTGTAAGCAAGAAGATATAGAAGAGCAGCAATCCAAAAATGCCTATTTGAACCGTTTAGAACAGTTTATAACAGACACCAAACAATTTGTTAAATGTAAACAAGAAAAAATAAACCTACTTTACCGTAAATTGAAAAAATATCAACGAAAAGTTGACAAAATTCAAAAAACAATTATTTCTTTAGACGCTATTTTATTAAGAGCTGTTCGCATCAATTTATTAGAATAATAATCAAACATCTTTCTTCAATCATTTTTCTAAATCATACAATTTTTTTATACCTACATTTTTCACATACCTAAAACCTCAACCTCAGAGGAAAGTGCCAAGTTTTCAAAACCATATGTACATAACCCAGTAATCCCAAAATTACTTATATCAGGGAAATGTATAAAAAAAGTGAATTAAAACAAGAACAATTTAGTGATATTTCCTCAGATGAGGAAGATGATAATACAACCATTGATGATAGGGAAACCACTTTGTGTAAGCAAGAAGATATAGAAGAGCAGCAATCCACAAATGCCTATTTGAATCGTTTAGAACAGTTTATAACAGACACCAAACAATTTGTTAAATGTAAACAAGAAAAAATAAACCTACTTTACCGTAAATTGAAAAAATTCAACGAAAAGTTGACAAAATTCAAAAAACAATTATTTCTTTAGACGCTATTTTATTAAGAGCTGTTCGCATCAATTTATTAGAATAATAATCAAACATCTTTCTTCAATCATTTTTCTAAATCATACAATTTTTTTATACCTACATTTTTCACATACCTAAAACCTCAACCTCAGAGGAAAGTGCCAAGTTTTCAAAACCATATGTACATAACCCAGTAATCCCAAAATTACTTATATCAGGGAAATGTATAAAAAAAGTGAATTAAAACAAGAACAATTTAGTGATATTTCCTCAGATGAGGAAGATGATAATACAACCATTGATGATAGGGAAACCACTTTGTGTAAGCAAGAAGATATAGAAGAGCAGCAATCCACAAATGCCTATTTGAATCGTTTAGAACAGTTTATAACAGACACCAAACAATTTGTTAAATGTAAACAAGAAAAAATAAACCTACTTTACCGTAAATTGAAAAAATATCAACGAAAAGTTGACAAAATTCAAAAAACAATTATTTCTTTAGACGCTATTTTATTAAGAGCTGTTCGCATCAATTTATTAGAATAATAATCAAACATCTTTCTTCAATCATTTTTCTAAATCATACAATTTTTTTATACCTACATTTTTCACATACCTAAAACCTCAACCTCAGAGGAAAGTGCCAAGTTTTCAAAACCATATGTACATAACCCAGTAATCCCAAAATTACTTATATCAGGGAAATGTATAAAAAAAGTGAATTAAAACAAGAACAATTTAGTGATATTTCCTCAGATGAGGAAGATGATAATACAACCATTGATGATAGGGAAACCACTTTGTGTAAGCAAGAAGATATAGAAGAGCAGCAATCCACAAATGCCTATTTGAATCGTTTAGAACAGTTTATAACAGACACCAAACAATTTGTTAAATGTAAACAAGAAAAAATAAACCTACTTTACCGTAAATTGAAAAAATATCAACGAAAAGTTGACAAAATTCAAAAAACAATTATTTCTTTAGACGCTATTTTATTAAGAGCTGTTCGCATCAATTTATTAGAATAATAATCAAACATCTTTCTTCAATCATTTTTCTAAATCATACAATTTTTTTATACCTACATTTTTCACATACCTAAAACCTCAACCTCAGAGGAAAGTGCCAAGTTTTCAAAACCATATGTACATAACCCAGTAATCCCAAAATTACTTATATCAGGGAAATGTATAAAAAAAGTGAATTAAAACAAGAACAATTTAGTGATATTTCCTCAGATGAGGAAGATGATAATACAACCATTGATGATAGGGAAACCACTTTGTGTAAGCAAGAAGATATAGAAGAGCAGCAATCCACAAATGCCTATTTGAATCGTTTAGAACAGTTTATAACAGACACCAAACAATTTGTTAAATGTAAACAAGAAAAAATAAACCTACTTTACCGTAAATTGAAAAAATATCAACGAAAAGTTGACAAAATTCAAAAAACAATTATTTCTTTAGACGCTATTTTATTAAGAGCTGTTCGCATCAATTTATTAGAATAATAATCAAACATCTTTTTTCAATCATTTTTCTAAATTATACAATTTTTTTATACCTACATTTTTCACATACCTAAAACCTCAACCTCAGAGGAAAGTGCCAAGTTTTCAAAACCATGTGTACATAACCCAGTAATCCCAAAATTACTTATATCAGGGCAATGTATAAAAAAAGTGATTTAAAACAAGAACAATTTAGTGATATTTCCTCAGACAAGGAAGATGATAATACAACCATTGATGATATGGAAACCACTTTGTGTGAGCAAGAAGATATAGAAGAGCAGCAATCCACAAATGCCTATTTGAATCGTTTAGAACAGTTTATAACAGACACCAAACAATTTGTTAAATGTAAACAAGAAAAAATAAACATCTTTTACCGTAAATTGAAAAAATATCAACGAAAAGTTGAGAAAATTCAAAAAACAATTAATTCTTTAGACGCTATTTTATTAAGAGCTGTTCGCATTAATTTATTAGAATAATAATCAAACATCTTTCTTCAATCATTTTTCTAAATTATACAATTTTTTTATACCTACATTTTTCACATACCTAAAACCTCAACCTCAGAGGAAAGTGCCAAGTTTTCAAAACCATGTGTACATAACCCAGTAATCCCAAAATTACTTATATCAGGGAAATGTATAAAAAAAGTGATTTAAAACAAGAACAATTTAGTGATATTTCCTCAGACGAGGAAGATAATACAACCATTGATGATATGGAAACCACTTTGTGCGAGCAAGAAGATATTATAGAAAAGCAGCAATCCACAAATGCCTATTTGAATCGTTTAGAACAGTTTATAACAGACACTAAACAATTTGTTAAATTTAAACAAGAAAAAAGAAACCAGCGTTACCGTAAATTGAAAAAATATCAATGATGAATTCAGAAAACAATAGATTCCTTAGATGTCATGTTAGTAAGAGCAGTTAGAATATATTTTTATTATTTGATTGATTTTTCATAGTAGCATTTCATATTTTGTTTTCAAAAAGTTTTTTGTACTTTGTGAATTAAATTAGCGTTTTTTCTTTAGAAGCTTATTGTATATTGTTAAATAAATTGTTTTTTAACTCATAAAACTTTGATTGTTTAATCTAATGTCATGTTGATTGTTTAATCATTGGAAACGGAGCGGAGCAAACGTCTGTGTAACCCCTGCTTCCTTTATTACGAGCAGACGGATGTGGAGAGAAATCCAAATGCAAGGTACACACATGAATATCAACATTTTGTTGTAGAAGGGGAAAATTTGGGGGACCAGCAACTTGTGATATTTGCTATAACTTTATTGTATCACGTTTTACATACACTATGTCATAAATGTGTTTTTTTTTAACTGTATGTAGTGTTGTAATGTTATTTTATAGCTTAATTTTCAATAGTACACC